TCACCCGCAGCCCAGAAGCTTCCTGGAGGCCCCAAGAGGCCCCCGAAAAGCCCCAAAAGGTCCCCAAGAGGCACCCAAGAGGCTCCCCAAGAGCCCCCCAAGAGGCCCAAAATACTCCCAAAGCAACTTAGCACCGCGGCTCCCAAGAGCGAGCGGTGACGTAATCGAGCTGATAAGACCAAAGCTCCCAACAGAGAGCTGCGGCGTAAGAAGTTCTTGACGCGACTCGACCCGACCGCCCCCTCCAAAACAAGAAACGCGCTCAAAGAAAGCTCCGCGACTCCCCGAGGCTGAGATAGGACAAGAGCGAGGGGAAGGGAGTCAATAAGAGGTGTATGAGCGGACGAGCCAGCGACCTTGTGCGCTCTGAAAGTAAGTGCGCTTTCCGTCCCCGTGCCAAGCAGGTCTACTGGCCCGGGTCAATTCAGACCCGGGTTTGTCGGGGCTTATTGCAGGATCCTGCAGGGTCCTGCACACAAGCCCAGGTCAGTGCACACTTGGCTCTGCAAGACCCTGCAAGATCCCGCGCTCTGGCTGACCTCTGTTTACATTGACCCCCCACCCCTCGATCTAGAGGCCCCCTAGATGGGATCCGATTAGATTGGGTCGGAGGATCGCGCCAATGCATCGCCAGTGCATCGCCTATGCATCGGCGACGCAGGATCGCCAGCGGCGATGCATCGGCGCCATCGGCATGGAGAAAATCGGGTTCCACGTCGAGCCGCGCGGCCGATACATCGGCGATGCGGCGCGACCCTCCGACCCCCGACGTTGTGTCTTTTTCACGACGTCGAGTCGCTTTTTGACGGCCCCGAGGCCCGGTAGAAGGGCCCCCGGAAGCCGAAAGCAGCGACAAACCTCCCGGCGCGTGTTTTCCACAGCGCGACCCAGACCCCCGACGTCATGATTTTTCATGACGTCGATCCCCAGCGGTCTGGACCCACTCCCTGGGACCGGTTCTTCCTCCCGGGTCGTTTTGTGACGGCCCCGAGGGCCGGTAAGGGCCCCCGTGAGGCCGAGAATCGTGGGAAACTTGCCGTCCTGATTGTCTCATGAGAGGGGGTCCGGGGAGGAGGTCCGCGGTCCTCCGACCCCACCCCGGGAGGCCCCTCCGGAGCGCCGACCGAGGTGCGGAGAGCCGGGGCGGTGCGGGCGCACCCGCGGAGGCGCCGGGCCCGCAGAGGCGTGCCCGGCGGCGCGCGCCCCGTCGGGGGGGGGGGCCTCCTCCTCCTCCTCCTCCTCCTCCTCCTCCTCCTCCTCCTCCTCCTCCTCCCGCTCCTCCTCCTCCTCCTCCTCCTCCTCCTCCTCCTCCTCATCATCATCCAACTCCTCCTCCTCCTCAGCATTGCTTAGATGAGTCTGGGAAGCGTTGCACTAGGTGTGGAGGATCAGCCTCCGTTGCCACCAAGACCGAGTTTTTGAAGAGCGATTGTTTTCAGCCTCTGAATTATGACGGGTCCCGCCTTTATAAACCCCCCAATGCAAAACTGCACATTGCGGGGGGGTGGGTAGACCTGAGTCATGATATGCAATATTCCACAATATGGATGCTCTGGTATTGTAAGTCGTGTGGTTGTTACGCATCGTCCGTGCTGCGCGAGTTAGGGAAGGGGTGCACAGGCAAGATCACCCCCAATCGGGCCGAGTACCTAAGTCGTATCTCCAGAGGCCTCTTTCCCAAGGTGTTGAGTGCAGCAGAGAAGCGCACTCGCGGGCATGTGTAATATGTCGGTGCCTCAGTGTTTCACGTGGAAGGCACTCGGTTGACTCTGTCACATGGTCATTCTCACTCTCATTCTCCTCCTCCTCCTCCTCCTCCTCCTCCTCCTCCCGCTCCTCCTCCTCCTCCTCCTCCTCCTCCTCCTCCTCCTCCTCCTTCTCCTCCTCCTTCTCCTCCTCCTCCTCCTCCTCATCCAACTCCTCCTCCTCCTCCTCCAGGGACACACATGCAGAGGCGGGCACACAGGTCTCTACACAGCGTTCGCCTCGAATGCTTCTCTAAGAAGTTCTTGGATTGTTTTTTTGGGGGCAGGATCCTTTCATGTCTACTTCTTCCATCCTGGGCCTCTTCCTGGCCACTAGGGGGCCTGGAACGATAAGCGAGCGCAATTAGAAATGAACACGGTTAGAAATGAACGATGTGCATATGGTTTCCATATTTTCCAGATGTTCGTCTTCGCCAGGGACTCACAATTATAAATAGACACGACTCTCCAAAACATCTGTGTGCACTTTATAGTTTCGGGATGCTCGTCTTCCCCAGGGACACGCGCAGATATAGTAGATGGACCCAACTTCCAGGAAATCCCCTTTCTGTCTTCCATATTTCCGGACGCTCGTCTTCCCAAGGGACGCACACACACAAATACAGATGGACACAATTCCCAGGAAATCCCCCCTCTGTTTTTCATTTGTTCTGCAGGTCCGTCTTCCCCTCCGCTTCCCGTACCCTCCCTGGAAGACCCAAAAAGGAAAACCCAGGGCACGGTGTAAAACAACAAAGGAGCATGGAGCCCCTCCACAAGGAAAAGGGCCCCTTCTGCAGCGCCCCGACTGTACCTCGGGCCTCCGGCGACCGCCTGGGACGATCCGGGCACCCAACGGGCGCTCCTCGGCGAGGCGCAGCTGCTGGAGAGCATGCCGAGGCTGGAAAAAAACGCAGGGCATCGACGAACCGAACACCTCGAACCTCGAAGCCCATGAGGAGGAGGAGGAGGAGGAGGAGGAGGAGGAGGAGGAGGAGGAAGAGAACCTCGAAGCCCATGAACCTATCCCCCTCGACATTGCCCTTCACCCCTCCCTGCCGTGCGTCGGATCGGGAAGCATCGGCACGGAGTCGGAATCGAACAAGATCGGCCGCGCGGGGGTGCACAACAGCTCTGTGCAAACATCGGGCCGCATCGCATCGTCGGACTGTCGGATTCGAGCCGGCCAGAGTCGATATCGAACCAGATCGATCGGATCGAAAAAAAATTCACCGCAGGAAGCCTTGAACCCCGGAGCCAACCCCTCTCTGACGATGACGTTGCCCCTGACCTCTCCCTGACCTGGAGCAGGGTGGGAGGGAGGGAGGACGAGGACGAGGACGATAACGAGGAGAAGGAGGAGGAGGAGGATAAGAAGGAGGATGAGGAGGAGTCGGTAGGGGAGGGGGAAGGGGAGGGGGAGAGGGAGGGAGAGGGGGAGGGGGAGTGGGAGGGGGAGGGAGGCGGGATGGGGAGGAGGAGGAGGTGGAGGAGGAAGAAGAGGAGGAGGAAGAGGAGGAGGAGGAGGAGGAGGAGGACGAAGACGAGGACGAGGAGGAGGACGACGAGGATGAGGACCTGAAGGATTGGGAGGCGGGATGGTTATGTTCGAAGTGGCGGGGGGGAGGAAAAAGAGGCGACAGCACTAGTGTGGGCCGCAGTATGCCTGACTTGCCGACACTTATACTTTGTATCGCTTGTTGCCCTGCAACTCTTTACGTTCTACTCTGCTGGCCCCTTCTCAGGCTGTTACTGAAAACATGAGTTTTAGACAGCTGATCTATCACCAGGCCAGCCTACAAGTGCCAGCCTCACCTCCTTCATGCATTCGCCTCCTGACATGTTTCTTTCGCCTCCTGTCCTACCCCCTGGCATACAGGGCAAGGCCTACTTATCTACACAGCTTACGTGCATATGTTCCCAGCCAGTTCAGCACCCTTGGCGACACTACGCCACCTTTCTGTGTTTTATCAATGCACTTCTCCTGGCATCAGCAGACATTGACCCGCGGGACTGCAAGGAGGGAAGGTTCGGGTTGGGAGGCACTGGAGGGATGGGGACATTCTGTCACAGAGGCCATTTGGGCCCTTTTGTTGAGGGGCGACTGCCCTCCTGTGGGCCGCAGTATACCAGACTTGCCTCCTCTAATGCCTAGATCGCTTGCTGCTCTGCAACACAAACGTACTACTCTGCGGGCCCTGTCTCAGGCAGTTACACAAAACATTGATTTAGACAGCTGATCATGCCACCAGGCCAGCCTGTCGTGTGCCAGTCTTACCTTCCAGTCGTACATCGGATCATGCATACACCTCCAGACTTTACCTACATGCCTCCCGATGTCGGTGCAAGCGCTCACTTGTTTTAGTCGGTGTCAGCTTACGCTTGCGCTACCGGCAGCAATAACCTTACATCATGAGGGGGATCTGGTCCTACGATCATGCTTACAGGTACTACTGTGTGGGGGACTTCTTACCTAAGTACATTTGCTGCCACTTCTACCTGGCGGGCACCTACTCTAAGGAGTCCGCTCGGCCGCACTTATTTGTCTTCCCTTTTTTTCTGCGGCGCCCGCCAGGTGTTTACTGCGCCAAGTCGGGCGCATTCTTTTCTTGCAAGCGTTCATGAACGCAACAGGCATCACACCTAATGTTAGTCGTGCGTGAACAGGGGAAGAGGACGAGGAGGAGAGGAGAGGAGGAGGGAGGAGGAGGAGGAGGAGGAGGAGGAGGACGAGGAGGAGGAGGAGAAGAGGAGGAAGAGGAGGAGGAGGAGGAGGAGGAGGAGGAGAGGAGGAGGAGGAGGAGGAGGGAGGAGGAGGAGGAGGAGAGGAGGACGAGGAGGAGAGGAGGAGGCGAAGGAGGAGGAGGAGGAGGAGGAGGACGAGGAGGAGGAGGAGGAGGAGGAGGAGGAGGGGAGGAGGAGGAGGAGAGGAGGAGGAGGAGGAGGAGGAGGAGGAGGAGAGGAGGAGAGGAGGAGGAAAGGGGAGGAGGGAGGAGGAGGAGGAGGAGGAGGGAGGAGGAGGAGGAGGAGGGGGAGGAGGAAGGGAGGAGGAGGAGGAGGAGGAGGAGGAGGAGGAGGAAGGAGGAGGAGAGGAGGGAGAGAGGAAGGGAGGAGGGAGGAGGAGGGGAGGAGGAGGGAGGAGGGAGGAGGAGGAGGAGGAGGAGCGGAGGAGGAGAGGGAGGAGGGAGGGAGGAGGAGGAGGAGGAGGAGAGGAGGAGAGGAGGGAGGAGGACGAGCACTCCCCCGCCGGGAGGCCTCCGGCGGCGCGCCCGCGGCCGAGGAGCGCAGGGCCAGCGGCGCGGAGGCGCTGTAGCCGTGGCCGGGCGGCGCCGTGGGAGGGGCGGCCGGGGGGGGCGCGAGGGGCCTCGGTGGGCGGGGCGCGGGCGACGGCGGCGCCGCCGTCGTGGCGATGCCCGTCGGACTCGGGTCGAACTTGATGGAGCAGGGAGCGGCCGTCCCGGCATTCCGATAAGCCTCCCATGACGTGCTATCTTAGAGCCCAGAAATGTTCTCAATACCAACAACCGTGTTTTTAGAACAGAAGCCCAGTGTGTTCAAACAAGACGGTCTCAGCCAGAAGTGTTCTGAGAACATGTCCACAACAGGATCTCGGAACATTCTTAGGTGGGCCTATAGGCGAGCCAGGACGCTTCGCCACTGCTTGACTTGAGTGGCTGACTCCAGAAACCCTGAACCTCAAACCCTTGTCATCTCTTGGGAGGTCGACTTTTGCTTCCGCCGGTTTCCGCCGAGCTCCCACCGGCGGAACCGCCCTCGTTTACTTCCGCCGCCTTCCGCCGACCTTATGCCGCCTTCCGCCGCGGAAGAGATGAGAACTCGATCCTCGAAGGCGAGGCCCTGTTTGGAACGCTCCGAGTCGAGCTAGAGCCGAACTATGGTTGGCGTTGTAGATGTGGCGTGCGAGTGTGGCGCCGCTGGCCCGTCTCTTTGGCGCCGCCCCCGACCTTGGGGGTAGCGTGCGCCGACGAAGCCATGGCAGGGTGACGGCGTGGATCCGAGGGGCCCTCGCGGGGAGACCGCCTCGACGGGACAGCGCGTTCTTCGGTTGCCCGCTACCTTTCCAAACGGCAGCCGCAGGTGGAATCGACCCAGGATCGGGCTAGAGCCGAACAGATCCGCCAACAACACAGGCATCTGTGTAGGGCCCAGGGACACACACACAAATACACGCGCGCACACATCCCAGGCTTCCCCACACTTTCTGGATCCTCGCCTGCCCCTTCACTTCCCAAGCATTCCCTGTACTTTTCTAGGGATCTGGACGTTCAAGTGCGCCTGTATGTCATCTCCCTCTCCCGATCGATCATTAGAGGTGGGCCCCGGGAAAAGCCGCCGACAAAACGAGCGTCTGATCCGTCCGACCCGCCCGGCCGTGACGACGAGAACCCCCACGCAGGAGCGCGCCGGACGCCCCCCCCCCCCGAGACGCCGGAGCGAGGGCGACGCACACGCACACGACAACGGCCCGCTCGACGCTGGCCGCACGCCCGACCCGGGGGCACCACAAGGCACCGCCGCTCCCTGGACCTCTCCCAGGGGCGCCCGCCGGCCTGAAGTTCCGATCGAGGAAAGCGAAACATATGCATGTACCAGCCGGGAGAAATAATCGCCCTGTGGCTGAAAGGGGGAGGAAGAGAGCAAAAGGGGAAAGAGAACAAAACACATGGTTACACCGACTCTGGCCAGGCCCATCCGGAGCCCAGGATCGGTGCATACGCCTTCGTGGCTTGGCCAGGGAGGCATATACAAGCCAATCCTGGGCCCCCGCACGGGCTTGGCCAGGATAGGTGTGTGTGTGTGTGTGTGAGAGAGTGTGTGTGTGTGTGTGAGGGTGTGTGTGTGTGTTTGTGTGTGTGTGCGTGCGTGCGTGTGTGCGTGCGTGCGTGCGTGCGTGCGTGCGTGGCGGGCGTGCGTGCGTGCGTGCGTGCGTGCGTTCGTGCGTGCGTGCGTGCGTGCGTGAGTGCGTGCGTGCGTGCGCGCGCGCGGGCGTGTGTGCGTGCGTGCGTGCGTGCGTGCGTGCGTGCGTGCGTGCGTGCGTGCGTGCGTGTGTGTGTGTGTGTGTGTGTGTGTACGCCGTGCCCTCTGACCTCGCCGCCGTGTCATCAACGAAGGTCCACATGGTTGCACTTTCTGCTCGCCTCTGTGCGTGCGTCTGAATAGGAAGTAGAAACAGACGAGCCAGGATGACTCCTCGCGGGGAGCCCGCCACTATGCCTTGGAGAGCATAGATGGGCTCCGCAATCCATCCTCGTGAGCGCAGTATTCTGGGGCTTAAAAAGAATTGAACTTCCAATAGAAAACAATGTACAGGAACCTCCTCGTCCAATCCAACCTCGATCAACCGTGCCAGCTTCACGTGTTCGTAGAAATTAGCCAAGTCCATCCGTAGAATTTAGCCAAGTCCATCAGTAAAGTGCCCACTGTCATTCCCCTGGCATCTGCATACTCGTCTAAGAAAGCACGATGAAGCGCTGCAGCTAAGGCCGACGAGCCCTTCATAGCTGTGCACCAGAAGTCGTGGAGCCCATCACTCCAGGCGTCGGGGGCTGCTCCTCTGATGCGGCTCCACGCGCGCGCTGTCGCCTCCTGCCTTTTTCGGTGCCATAGCTGCCAGGGTCGCCATAACCTGAAGGGCCACACACCGCTCCTCTGGATCATGTTGAGGATGTCCGTGTAGTGCTGTAGCGCCTCATCAGGTAATCGCCTCATGTCACGAGGTCCGATCATATCAACTCCTGTGGCTTTCGCTCCTGGCATGATAGCTAATGCACGCAACACTTCCGCCAGCTGGATCTGTTCAAGAGGATCTGCTTGGATACGGCGACGCGCTTTATCCAGCGCCTCCACGATATGTTGCTTCGTCTCCCTCGGCTGCCATACTCGCCCCCGCTCTTGTCGCTTGCAATCCATAATGACCGCGGGGCTGGAGATGGTGGTGCAACTCGCATAAATCTCAAGCCGCCGTTGCTATTGAGGCTTAACCTGGCGATGCAATACTCCAGGTTTCGTCTTCCGCACGTCTGCCAGCCAGCCAGCGTACTTCTTCTTCGGCTGATAAGAGGCGTGAGCCGCCGCACGACCTGCCCAGGCCTCCGTCTGAGATATGAGCTCGACACGGTCCTCGTCTTCTAGCATCGCGATCGTGCGGGGCCAGCTCCGACCACCTGAACACTTCATCCTCCTCCGCCTTGGGTAGGAGCTTGTCCCGGTTGGCGTGCAAGTCAGCCACTCGCCGCTGCAGGATGACAACTTTCGTCTTGATGAGGTCCCCATGCCCCTGATTCTTGCCCAGTGCCACAATCTTCTTCACCAGTGTCATCGTGATCGCCCACCACTCTGCAGGCTCATGTTTGATATGGGTACGTCCAGGGTTTGCTGCAGTCTTCTTCCATATAAAGCTGACTCCACCGCCTCGTCCCGTGTACTCTGCCTTTTTCGAGTCTGGAATGGCGTGGTGCTTCAAGATCACTTCTTCAAAGGAACTCATCCACTTGGCATAGTGCTGAGATGCGCACGCGGTCGCCTCTGGGCCCCCCTCGTGCAGAACGTGAGGAGGCAATTTCCGCGACTGGTCGTCTGGGCCCTGGCCTGAGGGACCTGGGGCACCGAGCAGCTGGCCTTTTTCTGGTCGCACTGCTCCAAGGGGGGCGAGCACGCTCCCACGATTTGGTGCCCGTGGAGACCCGCGTGGGCTCTTGGGGCCCCCGCCCCCCTTGCTGGCGCGCCATCGATGCTCGCGTCCATCCCACGAGACAGTGCGCAGCTCTGGTGGAACTCCAAGGGGGGCGAGCACGCCCCCACGAATTGAGGCCCGTGGCCACCCGCATGGGCTCTTGGGGCCCCCGCCCCCCCTTATTAGCACGCCATCGATGCTCACGCCCATCCCAAGAGACAGTGTGCAGCTCTGGTGGATACGCTCCAGGGGGGGGGGGGGGGGGGGGGGAGCACGCCCCCACGATTGGAGGCCCGTGGCCACCCGTATGGGCTCTTGGGGTCCCCGCCCCCCTTCTTGGCATGCCCTCGTTGTCCGCGTGCCTGCCATGGGTCATGTTATCGCTGTTCACGCCCATTCCAAGAGACAAATCTGGGGCCCCCTCCAGCATGCGAGACCTCCCTGACGTGTGCTTCGAGCATGCCTTCTCTGGGAGCCCAGCCATGCCGAAGGTGTTCGGAAGGTCGTCGGGGCCGCCGTGGTACCTCCTCCACTGATCCAGTGGGGTCGCGAAGTCTACGCCCGTTACGTAGTCCACGTCCGCTGAGGCAAGGGCCTCAGGCTCCGCCCCATTCATCGGGGTCTTGCGTCAGCTCGTGGAAGATCTCCTGCAGTCCTTCAGACAATTGGTTGCGCCTTTTCCCCAATGCTGCCTGTTTCCTCAAGGACGTCGTGCTGTTGGGATCCGCCTGAAAACGCGGTCTGGGCGAACAGGGTAGCTCAGCAGGTGGATTCGCTGCTCGGTATCTCCAAGGCTGGGACTCACCTGCAGATACTTCCAGTCCACAGTGAGTGCCCCATGGTACATCATGTACCTGAAGGATAACCACCGAGGACTCCAGGCCTCGCTTCACCACTGCAAAGTCGACGGTCGATCTCGAGCCTCTGTCGCATGTGGCCGAGCCTAGGGCGACTAAGATAGAGCCGCCCCACTCCTCAGGATAGCCGCTATCTGCTAACTGTCGCGGGGTCATGTTCCAATCAGCTAGCACAACCCAGGGGTCCGCCAACATGTCCAAGAAGGCTGTGAGCGCAACCGTACGCTCGTGCGCGGGGCCTGTGATCGAGTCGCGCGGCTCGATGTAGCGTGCTATCACAACTAAGTTCCCGGTCCTGCGATGCCACGTTATCGGGGCAAAGCCGTGGCAGGGTCCACTGCGTACAACTGTCTGCTCTGCTGTCTCATGGCATCGAAGGTGGTGGCAGCCACCGACTTACGGGCCAGGACCATCTCCCCTCCCGTAGCGCCTGCAGCAGAGCGCCCAGTGGGCATCGTATAGCACTTGGATGCACGCCAATCATCTTTGTCAAATTTGAGAAACTCCTGCTGCTGCTTCGCCTGGGATATATGCGCCTCGACCATCGCCAGGACCTGGTAGCTCTTGCCATGTGATGCCACCCATCTCTCAGCCTGCGGGCCCCACTCAGTGATGCTCGCGAAGAACAACTGGGCCTCCAACTCAGACTGGGCGGAAGTGGGAGCCTCCTCGCTACGCACGCTCTGCACGAGCAGCGCCGCCAGAGCCAGCAGCAGCTCCAGCAGCCTTAGGCGGCGGCGGCTGCGAGAGCTCGGGTTGGGCTGGCTCGGCGGCCTGACGGAGGGACTCTGCCGAGATCGCCTTGAGGCGCTCGCCGTCAAGCGGCGGGAGGGCACCCACCTTGGCAGGTGGTGGGACAGACGCAGGCGAGGCCGCTGCGGGTGCTGCCTGCGCGGGTGGAACGCCTCCCTCCTCCTGGCGCCTCCGCTTGGCGACGAGCTCCTGGTCGAAGCGCTTGATGGACTCCATGAGGTCCTGGAGCTTCTGGACCGCTGACTCCAGCTGCGGCCTCGCGGCGTCGAGCTCCACCTTGTACTCCGTGAAGGTGTTGCGCTCGGCCTCGTCCATATCTGCTGGGTCCACCGTCTCGAATATGTCATAGTCGATGACGATCAGATTCTTTTGAGGTGCATCCCGTGCGTGCTCTGTCTGTAGTGTCGAGAGGGCCTGGTGATAGGCACCCTCCGCTGCTGCCTGAACTTGCACTTTCTCCTCATGCACCTCAGCGGCCGCATCCAAGTCGGCGCGGGCCCGTAGTGCCCCCATCGCCGCCTTCTGTGTGGCCTGCTCTGCGTAACTCCTGCTTGGCCTTCTGCGCCGCCTCCCACGCATCCGTCGGGACTGGCTTCTTCGCATGCTGCAGCTCCGTCTGGATCGCCGCCGCCACTGCAGGTGGGAGATCAGTGGCCTTGAGGAGTTCGCGCATCTTCTTGTCACTGGCCTTCGGGTCGTTCTTGTCGTTCTTGGGCGTGGTGGACCAAGGCGTCCATCGCTGCACCTTGTGTCCACACTGGCAGTAGCAGTCCTGTGCGATGAGCTTCGTGTTCCAAATCCAATTCTGGCAACCCTCGCAACGACTCCATGCACGCCCATACTTTTTGCCTCCCGTGGAATCTGAGAGGAACTGATTGAGGGAGCTCAACCCCTCGGTGAAGGCCAGAGAGACTGTCGGGCGCAGGCGCCCTGGCACTGCCGCGGACTAGCGGTATCCGTGTATGCCAATGCGGGCTCAGCCCGCCAAAGCATCAGCCTTGAGCCAAAATAGCTACGGAGGAGGAGGAGGAAGAGGATAGGGACCTCTTTGTGGGCCAGGGGTTGGGAAGAGCAGGTCGTCAGATGTGTGGGCCGTGAGCGCTGGGCCGCCGACCCTGGCCGCAGGCCCGCCATGGGCCCAGGACCGAGGCGTGCTTGGACGTGCCACGCCAGGCCAGCAGTGCGTGTATGCACCGATTCTGGGCCAAGATGATGGCCTGGCAAGGCAACGCCCCCCCGGCGGGGTGCCCTACCAATGGGCATTCCGACCAGCGGCCCAGGCAAACCCCACCCGGCACCGGATGCGGTCAGCGCCACGGTGCCCGAAAGAAGCCTAACAGGCGCAGGCTTCGGCGGGCCTCCAAAGTATACGCTGCTGGGCCACTGCCCATTGTGGTGCGACCGGAGCCAGGGTCGGTGCCCCGACTCCGGAATCCCAGGTGCCAAAGAGACGCACACCTCTTGGAGGGTCGAGCCCTACTTCCGCCGTGAACCGCCCGACATGTGCACCGACCCTGGCCAGGCCCATTCTGGGCCCGGCACTGGTGTGCATGCTCTCCCCGGCCAAGCCAGCAGGAGCACCCTCTCCCTGTTGTGGGACGCCGCCCCGTCCTCGACCTGCTCCCGGAGCCGGATCTGTCCATCCCGCCTCGTTGCTGCTTCTGTCGAGGCAGCGGCCTCCAGAGGCCGAAGGCTAAGAAAACGACCTCCTCCTCCTCCTCCTCCTCTTCTTCTTCTTCTGATTATTATTATTATTATTATTATTATTATTATTATTATTATTATTATTATTATTATTATTATTATTATTCTTCTTTCTCCTCCTCCTCCTCCTCCTCCTCCTCCTCCTCTCCTCATCCTCCTCCCTCTCCCTCCTCCTCCTCTCCTCCTCCCTCCCCTCCTCCCCCCTCTCCTCCCCTCCTCCTCTCCTCCTCCTCCTCCCTCCTCCTCCTCCTCCTCCCCTCCTCCTCCTCCTCCCCCCTCCTCCTCCGCCTCCTCCTCCTCCTCCTCCTCCTCCTCCTCCTCCTCCTCCTCCTCCTCCTCCTCCTCCTCCTCCTCCTCCTCCTCCACCTCTCCCCCTCCTCCCCCCTCCTCCTCCTCCTCTCCCCTCCTCCTCCTCTCCTCCTCCTCCTCCTCCTCCTCCCCCTCCTCCTCCTCCTCCTCCCTCCTCCTCCTCTGTCTGTGCCGCCCGGACCTGCATGCAGTGATCCTGGGCCCGGCAGGGGGCCTGGCCAGGGTCGGCGCAGACGCTGCGGGCCTCGGCGCCGGACCGAGTCCAAGGGCAACGTTCGGGGGGACCAGCTCGAGTAGGGAAGCGTCGACGCGGCATCGGGAAGCCTCGCCGATGGATCGGCGAAAGGCCCACGGAAGCAATTCCGCACGCTCCTGGGCGAGGCGGGGGTGGGCCACCAGCAGGCTCCTGGACGGGCGCTCGACGAGCGACTGGAGGTCGATGCGTACCCTCCCGGAGCCTATCCCTCCCCTGCTGGTGGTCCTCGGGTCAGATCTCTCGGCTCTCTGGCCGCCGCGCAGGACGATTAAGCACAAAAAACTCGGAGGCCCGCGCGGATTTCTCGGATCGGCGCCGGAGGCGCCGCCGCGGGGCCCCAGCGCCGATCCGAGAAATCCGCGCGGGCTTCCGAGTTTTTCTGTTTATGCCACTTTTTGTACCCCTAGATTCGGGCACCCCCGGAACGCCCTCGGCGAGGCGCAGCCGTCGGAAGCCGCCCAAGACTATAAGCAACTGTCGACCCCCCCTCGCTGCCCCCGTCCCACTCGCAACGCTTGCCCCCTCACGGCGGTCCCCCTCGCAACGTGGACCCTCACACCACGCTGCTAACCTGCCTCGGACTTATCCCTATCCCTAAGATGGGCGAGCAGAACGCAAGGACAAACGTAGGGATGTGTTTGCAGAAGCTGAGGGAATCCTTCAGATCTGCATCGAGGCGATGCGATGCCAAGCTTAGGGATAGGGATATGTTTCAAACTTGTACGTTGCCCCTGAGCCCAGCTCCCAAGAGAAGAAGAAGGAGGAGGAGGAGGGGACGGGGGAGGAGGAGGAAGAGGAGGAGAAGGAGGAGGAGGAGGGGAGGAGGAGGAAGAGGAGGAGGAGGAGGAGGAGGACGAGGGGGATGAGAAGGGAGGAGGAGGAGGAGGAGGAGGAGGAGGAGAGGAGGAGGAGGAGGCGAGGAGGATGAGGAGGAGGAGGAGGGGGACGAGGAAAATGAGGAGGAGGCGGAGGAGGAGGATGATGTGCTTTAAACTGGTGAGTCGCCCCCGCAGGATGCTGAGCGCGCGGCGGCGGCGGTGGCGGGGCGTTGTCTTCGGAGGGGCCCTCCGTCGGTGGCGGCGGCGGAGGGTCGAGCTCCTGCCGGAGGCTCCGCCGCGGGCAGCGCTCCTCCTCGTCCTCCTCCTCCTCCTCTCCTCCCCTCCTCTCTCTCCCTCTACGTCTCTCTCCTCCTCCTCCCTCCTCCTCCTCCTCCTCCTCCTCCTCCTCCTCCTCCTAGAACGATCCTTGCGTCGTGAGCAATCACGACGGGCCGTCTCCGAGTACTCTTGGCCCCCGGGGGCGCCCTCAGCGGGCCCCCCCCTGACTCCGGATCCGCCCTACTTTGGAGAAATTCGCAAGTAGGGCTTGGAATTTCTGCCTTACTTTTCAGGCTCCGCTGATGCCAGGTTCCGCCCTACTTTTCTGTTGCTGTTTCCACCCTACTTCTGTGGTTGTCCGCCCTACTTGTATGTTGGATGCAAAATTTTCCGCCCTACTTTTTCGGCTTCTTATAGGTGGACTTTCGACGCAATTCTAAGTTGGAAAAAAAGCCAAAGTAGGGCGGATCTGGAATCAGGGCCCGCCCCCACCTGGAAAGGTCGTGCAGCTTTTGCAGGTCGGGTCAGAGAACCGCGGGGGGGACCTCCCTGGGGATAGTCTTTGGCCAGGGCCGGTTCCTGACGGCCCCAGGGCCTGAAGACGGCTCCAGGAGCTAGGAAACGCGGAAGGCGACGAAAGCAAACAAATCGACGATGAAAGTTGCCTTACTTTTCCGGGGCATCGCAAGACCGTCAATGATGAAAAGCTGGCCCCCGGGAAACAGTCCAGAACTTTGCGGAGCCGCGCTGTAAAAACATCGCGACGTCGGACGTCTTGGTCACTCCCCTGCCCCTCGCCCCTCCCTTCTCCCTGCTCCCGCGGCAGACTCCCGCTCGTCTTCGCCCCCCTCCTGGTCCACCTCCCGCCTCTCTGCACCACCCTCTCCTACTCGATTTTCCTCCTCCTCCTCCTCTTCCTCCTCCTCTTCCCCCTCCTTCTCCCTCCTTCCCTCCCTCCTCCCTCCCTCCATCCCTCCCTCCTCCCTCCTCCCTCCTCCGCTCCTGCTCCTTTTGAACATCATCGTCGTGCGACCATCAGGAGCGCATGATAGGGAACCAAAGGGGCTTTTCTGGCACGGCGGGCCTAAGCCACAGACAGGTTCCACGCTACAGATCTCAGGAACGGGCCGAACGCCCGAGCACCTCCTGAGCCCAAGGCGGTCCTTACTTCGGCGCCGTCGGGCCGGGCGTTTCGCCTGAGACTTCCTCGCCATCTGTGATCCCGGAGCTAAACATGGATCTCGCCTTAGCGCCGCGCGCATGCGTTGCTAATCATTGCAAGGCTTTCAAGGATGGAAGGCGAGAGGTTCTCAAAATGTGGCTCTCGCCTGAGCGCCGCGCACATTCGTTCTAAAAGTTTGCAGAAGCTTCACGGATGGAGGGCGGCACGTCTTCTACATGTCGCTGTCAGTGGCTGCCGCCCTAGCGCCGCGCTCAATTGTCTGAAGAGCTTACAGCAGTTTCAAGGAGTCTTCTGGTTGACGTCCGAAAAATGGTTTGACACGATGTAAGACTGGTATGGTGCAACAGTTGCGATGGCTCCCCCGGTGCTGTAGTCCCAGGAATGGCGTTCTGGCGCAACTCAGGATCGCCACGGCGCAACAGTAACGTTGATACGCGGCGTTGAAGTGTCATGAATGGTGTGCTGCTACACGGTTCAAGACTTCCAGACGGCTGTCTTCAAACGGGGCATGTTCCTCAGTGAGCATGAACCCTTGCAAGGACGCGTGAAGAGGGAACTTGGAAGGAGGCTTGATTGCAACGTCGTTGAGGAGTCTTGGGTTTGCACTGGCCCTCCTCCTCCTCCTCTTCCTCCTCCTCCTCCTCCTCACCCTCCTCATCCTCCTCCTCCTCCTCCTCCTCCTCCTCCTCCTCCCGCGGAGCCCCGGCCGAGAGCGCCCGCGCCCCGCCCCGGGGCACTCGGCCGTCGGAACCCTGGCCATCCGAACGCGGCACCGGCGCTGCCCGCCTGCGCGGCGGGGCCTCCCCCAGAGGTGTCCTCCGAGGCGGCCCTCGGCCGCGGCTGCGGCTGCGGCTGCGCCGCGAGCGGCGTCCCGGGCAGGAGGCGCACCAGGCGCGTCGTGGGCGGCTCCTCGGGGAGCTGTGGAGGGGGCCCTGGGGCACACAAAGAGATAGACACATCGTTTCCCATAGTTCCTGGGTTGTGTTTGTGTCGTCCCCCCCCCCCACTTCCCATAGTTTCCAATGTTCTTTGGGGAATGGACGATTCATGGTGTCTGTGTGATTTTTTACCTAACAGCTTTTGCTGATAGGTTTCTAGTGGACTCAAAAGAGAGCAGCAGATGACTCCACAAGGGGGTCTGGGCGGCATCCGGGGAGCTGTGTCCGAACTCGTGTCCGAACTCGTTTTTCGCAAACAGTCACACACTTCGTGCTCTTCGAACTCCCAGAACTCCATTCCCGGGCCACATTCTGAATGCCCGGAACCAATTGTAGTCCACTTCGTGCTCTTCGACCTCCCAGAACTCCATTCCCGGGCACACATTTTGAATTCCATGAGCCAACTGTAACGCACTTCGTGCTCCCTTACCCTATTGTCCCTTTCCACCCCTTCCTCCTCCTCTCCCTTCCCCTATTCCCTCTCCCTACCTCCCCTCCTTCTCCCTTCCCCTGCCTCCCTTCCCCTTTCGACTTCCCAGAACTCCCATCCGGGCCACATTTTGATGCCCGGATCCACCTGGAGCCACCTGTAGGCACTTCGTGCTCTTCGAGCTTCCAGAACTCCATTCCGGGCCATTTTGATGCCCGGAGCCAACTGTAGGCCACTTCGTGCTCTTCGCCTTCCCAAACCCTGCACTCCCGGGCCACATTTTGACTTGCTAAATCAGAGCCTCGTCCGAAAAAGCTGGACGCTTGTGGCTGGGCAGGCTGCGGCTGAGGCAGGTGGGCAGAGGCTGCAGGGTGAGGGCTGAGGCAGGCTGAGGTTGAGGCAGGCTGAGGCTGAGGCCGAGGCTGAAGGCAGACTGAGGCTGAGGCTGAAGCAGGCTGAGGCTGAGGCTGAGGCAGGCTGAGGCTGAGGCTGAGGCAGGCTGAGTCTAGGCAGGCTGAGGCTGAGGCTGAGGCTGAGGCAGGCTGAGGCTGAGGCAGGCTGAGGCTGAGGCTGAGGCTGAAGGCTGAGGCTGAGGCTGAGGCAGGCTGAGGCTGAGGCTGAGGCAGGCTGAGGCTGAGGCTGAGGCAGGCTGAGCTGAGGCAGGCTGAGGCTGAGGCTGAGGCTGATGCAGGCTGAGGCTGAGGCAGGCTGAGGCTGAGGCTGAGGCTGAAGGCAGACTGAGGCTGAGGCTGAAGCAGGCTGAGGTTGAGGCTGAGGCAGGCTGAGGCAGGCTGAGGCTGAGAGTGAGGCAGGCTGATACTCAGGCAGGCTGAGGCTGAGGCTGTGATTGCGAATGCCGTTGCCACTGCGACTGTCATCGCGAATGCGACTGCGACTGTGAGAACAGCAGAATTCTACAACTGGATTCTGATCTGAATCTTAAGGAGAATGCTTCCAGATATGCTTCTACACATCGCTGTTAGGTTGCTTTGCCGGGATTTTCCCCCTCCTGAAACTGATTGGCGGCGCGCAGAAGGGGGTGGAGGGAGGGGGGGGGAAAGGCTTCTTAGAAGGAGGCTGCTCCTTAAAAGGCGCGGGCCTCACATCTACAGATAAAAGGCCCGCGCCTTCTGAGAAGCAGGGGTGCTTCCAAGAAGCCCCTCTCCACTCATTACCCCCTTCTGCGCGTGACCGAACTGGAGACAGCATCACCGCCGCGCGTCCGCCGGGAGCTCCCGAACGACTCGAGGCGTGTGCTCACGCTGAGCTTATGGCCCGCTGATGTCGGGGAGACGTAAGACTCGGGTGCGGGGGACTCGGGTTAGCCTGGCGGCGCCATCATGAAAATGACGAGACCCAGCCTGAAATTTGACGCGATGTCCCGCTGCAAACATCTCACGAACACTGGAACGTCAAACTCCAGAACGCGCTCGTCAAAAAGCGTCGGCAAACCGGAGCTCCTGCGCACTGGCGCACTCGAGCCTTTCGTCTCCCCGATGATGGGCGGGCAGGGGAACAAGACGACGAAGCCAAGATCGGGACGACTTCGGCCCGGGACACATCGGGGACCTTTGATACGGCGGTGGAGTTGGATGCGGCGCCCTTGGATTAGGAATCCAAGGTCTGGAAGCCGGCGGACCACCAAGTGAGGCTTGACCGTGGACATCACCGCCTCCCTCAGCTGATACAGCGGAGGTCAGTCTACAAGAAACCCCCCACAAGAAACCCAACCCTGAGACCCAATGACGTCCATGGATTTTTGGCGTGGGAAGCGTCATGCCCTGCATTGCAAAAATCCATCGAAACCCGAGGAACCCAGGGCACCCTGGAGGCAACCACCAGGGTGCTTCTTGGCATGGGCCTCCACTGTAAGGAACCCTCCTCGGGGATCTGCTGACCCGGGTCAATCCAAACCCGGGTCAATCAGGCCTTGTGGAATCCTGCAAAATCCGGCAAGACCCTGCACCCAAACCCAGGTCAATGCGAAGGATCCTGCAGGATCCTGCAGGCTCCTGCACCCAAGCCCGGGCCAGTGCGACCCTGGCCCTGTAGGATCCTGCAAGATCGGGCGCTCTGGCTGACCCCCGTTTGCACTGACCCTGGAGGCAACCAGGGTGCTTCTTGGCATGGGTCTCCACCGGGGAAAGAGGGAGAGGAGGAGAAGGAGGAGGAGGAGGAAGTGGAGAAGGAGGAGGAGGAGGGGGAGGGGAGGGGAGGAGGACCCTCCAGGGTCTGGAAGAACCTCTGGGCAGGCTCCTCAACCAACAAACACCGCCCACGCCGCAATTATACCTGGCGGCCCTGGAGTGTGCCCCCCTACGGGCGGAGCTTGGGCGACAAATATCAAAGATAGTCAACAGAAATATAAACATAGCCAAAACAAACATACGCACTGCGTGGAGCTCTCCATCTGTGCATCTATTTTAGCATGGATCTGTCCGCTGCGAGCGTCTAGGCGCAAGAGCTTTCGAATCTATTGACGGGCTTGAGTATTGACGGTCTGGGAATGAATCAAACTGTGAATGACTCTCAATATTATTAGTGCGTCTCTGCGCATGAGCCTGGGGCCTCCTGGGGCCTCCTGAAACCTCCTGGGGGGTCCTAGGGCCTCCTGGAGCCTCTTGAGGCCTCCTGTGGCCTCTTGGGGCTTCCTTGGGCCTCCTGGGGCCTCCTGGGGCCTCCTGGGGCTGCCTGGGCCCTCCTGGGGCAGCCTGGGGCCTCCTGGGGAGGATTCGTGCCCCAGGAGGGGCACAATCTATAGGAACAGACGTATATAAAACATTTCGGATTGAAGCCGCAGCAGGAGGGTAATCTATAGGAACGCACGTAAAGCACCAAGGACTCGTGCCCCAGGGGAGGCCACATCTATAGAAACGCATGTAAACCACGAAGGATTCGTGCTCCAGGGGAGGCGCAATCTGTAGGAGCCGACGCACAACATATGGATAGGAGCCACTCCTGTGGCCTTCGAAGGCCGCCTGCTCCTGGGGGCTCTTAGGGCCTTCTGGTCCTTCCGGGGCCTCCTGGGGCCTCCTGTGGCCTGCGGCGTCCTGGAGCATACTGGAGCCTCCTGCAGCCCCCTGGACCCTCTTGGGGCCTCCTGGGACCCCCGGGAGCCTCCTGGAGCATCTTGTGGCCTCCTGTGGCATCCTGATGCCTCCTGGTGCGTCCTGTGGCCTCCTGGAGCCTTGGAGCCTCCTGTGGCATCCTGAAGAGGATCCGTGCCCACGAGTTTGGCCAGCAAAATAATCAAACCGCTGGAGACATCCTCAAAATCTGGCCCCCCTCGGGGGCGAAAATGAGCGCCTCGCTCAAGACATCCTCCAAATCTGCTCCGAAAGCGGAGGAGGTTGAGCTGGTAAACAGGCAAACCGCTCGAGACATCCGCGCCATTTTGGCGCGAACGGAAGCCGTGAAATACGCCTGGCGGCTCCTCCTTGGGGGTGCCGAAATCCGCGCCTCGCTCGAGACATCCTCAGAAATTGCTCCGCCATCATCATCATCATCATCATCATCATCATCATCATCATCATCATCATCATCATCATCATCATCATCACCACCACCACCACCACCATCATCATCATCATCATCATCATCATCATCATCATCGTCATCGTCATCATCATCATCATCACCACCATCATCATCATCATCAGCATCATCACCATCATCATCATCATCACCATCAGCATCATCAGCAGCATCAGCATCAGCATCAGTATCAGCATCTTCATCGTCACCATCACCATCATCGTCATCACCACCATCATCATCATCATCATCATCATCAGCAGCAGCAGCAGCATCGTCATATAATAGCATAACGTAACCTAGCATAACGTACTATTACATACCAAAACACATCATCAGGGGAGGAGGAGAAGGGAGGAGGAGGAGGAGAAGGAGGAGGAGGATGTGAAAGGAAGGTCCGCGCGGTCACAATAATAACAATAACCCCATCCTTCGGATATGGGTAAAAAACAGATCGGGAAATCGTCCCCAGGCTATTCTTTTATAACTTTTCAATATAC